TAGCATGTCTCAGACAGGATCCTTGAGTTTTCTCTTATCCCGTCATTTCTGAATCATTTCTGCGGCTGTGTCGCATCAATTCAGTCCGTCGGTACCTAATCATAAGCTTCCATCCTGGGAACACCAGGGAGCAGGAATCTGGTTCATGGCGCAGAGGTGAGAGAGGAAAGGCACAGCTGTATGTACGTACATAGACACTGCACATGTGGCAGCCCTGCAAGACGCCCCAAACCTTGCGAGCCTTTCTCCAAATTCGCACACCTCCAATCCAGGTCTTCTGTCCAAGGTTGACATTCATCTGTGGAACCCTGCAAGGGTCAGTATATGCACAACTCCACACCGTCTTCATAACATCCTTGTCGAGGACTCTTCACCGGTTCACATATAGTACTGTGTATCTCGGGCACACCTATTCGAAATCGACCTACGGACATACACAGTACAGCAAATTGCCCTACGACACACGTATCGTACCTGGTGATCGGTTACCGTAAGATATCACTTCGAAACCAACACAACACCAACTTTATTTCTCGCGATGCGGAAGTATGTACCCTTGATAAGGCAGATGGGGTCGGCTCCTGGCAAAGTAATCAAGTATCCTGTTCCTTGGGTATGTCAACAATGCTGGGCCAGGACAGAGGGACTGGCTGTCCTTGGCCACGAAGCATCCGAGGCAACTAGAAGCGCTTACCACGATTCTGCTTGTGTATTCTTGAAATTTGCCGAAACCATCATGGCTGGTTGCAGCACTGACTCTTCTTCGCGTAATGTCATGTGTACCTGGGACCATGGGCCGAGGGAAACCTTCACAAGACAGACCAACAAGCCACCAATGGGCCTGTCCAAGATCATGTACTCAGATATGCCAGCCTCGAGACTATGCAGACTCTCATTGAGCACCAACGCAAGGGGACTATCTACAGAGTACACTTCACAGCACAGTATTGTCTAGCAGAAAACGCTCTCGCTCACAAGAGGAGAGACAGATGTCTTTGACTGGACGGGTGAATCACGACTAATTCCCTACACCAATCACTCCATGCGACCATGCTGCCTATTGGCGCAATAGTACACTTGACCTTTACGAATAGCTTCATAGGTGGATTTATATGTCTGGGCTTTTCTGGGTAAACGGCCTTGCCAGACATGTTCCTATTAACCTCCCCAAGCCGTCTTGACTCGCCTTGTGGCGGCGCGTTGGTAATGATATACGTACATCCTGTCGTTGCAAAACTGTGTTCAATCACTAGTGTGTGGCTGTCGGCATGCTCTCCCCAAAGCAGTTAAGGAGAGGTGGGTGGAGGTCTGGGTGAATATATCTAACTGCCTTCTTCCACCAACGTGTCGAGCATTGTACGTAGATTGCATATTCTGGTGCATGATTCCAGTGCCCTTTTATAATCCCCGGGGTTGTTTTGGGCGCCAGAAACGGACTGCGTGAAGAATGTATCCTGATGCAGGGTTTTAGGAACGCACATATGCAAGCCACATTCGCCTGGTGCTCCGACTTTGGCCGTATGTACATTTTGCACTGGATATGGGTATTCGATCCGAAACATGCAGAGCTATCGGACTTAAGGCGCGTCTTTCAATACCGCATAATAGCAGGCAAAGAGCAAGAAAGAGGCCGTCCATCTGTCTGACTGCTGAATGCCAGTATTATAGAAACACTTCAACCAATACTTGCTGGCTAGAAAGCACACTAGTCCCTGCTTGTAGCTGAGTACAGAGTAGATAGGTAGGTACTGGGCAACACAACACCATACAATACAGTAGCAAGTGAAAGTGACGCACAGTTCATCGGGATTGAAACAGGCCCTACCACACTGGACCAGTTGCCAAACGCCCGAAGCGATTGTGTGCCGGCGCATCCATCTTATCGACCTCGTTCCATGGCAGCCATTTTCTACGGAGGTAGGGTGAGGTGCCGGAAGTTGTTGAAAGTTGTGCCTGTCATCAACCGCTCCCTCTTGGGACAAAGAACCCACTCCACGCAATCCCAAGCAGCCAACCCACCCGCCCACCACCCACACATCCCTCAGTCTCTCCATCCATGATCCCCGGCAATGAGCAGCAGCCGTGGTGGACTCTTCTTCATTGTGCTTGCTGCTGCCACCTGCATCCTGCAAAGCTAGGTAGGTTCTGCTGGGAATCTTTCTAGGGTCACGCCGGAATAGACTTGATAGCTAGCGCGTGCCTCCCACCGAGTCCCAAAGCTCAATTATCAAGGTGCTTTGTAGGCTTGAACAGCTCAAAGTACTAAGCATGGCTCTCTTCATTCTTCCCTATTTCTCTCAGTGCTCCTGGCGACTTCCTGGAGAAGTACCTAATGTGAGCAAGGTTGTTCTCGGAGGAGTCAGCTCGCACCTGGCGAATGAGCAGGCAGGAGCAGCAAGCATTAGCCATTTTACGACTGTTGTCAACAGATCTTTTTTTGCTCGCTCTGCAATATGGCACCTACCTTAGGCAGGGTTGATCAAAGATGGGTACTTGTAATCCGGATACGCAAGGCAAGTAGGGCAACATGGACAGTTATGATAGACTTCATCCAGCTGGCGTCATAGGTTCAGAGACAGTACCTGGAATGCAAAACCCAATATCTGCACATTGTAAGTTTCCAACTACGACAACAACAACAAGAACAACAACAACAATAATCAAATTGTTCGTATCAGATCGTCCGTTTCATCAGATAAAGACGAGAGATACCAGCCAGAAACTTTGAAGCTCGCCAAGAAAGAGAGAGGGGAGGGAAAAAAAAAAAAAAAAAAAAAAAAAAGAACAAAGCACGGAATAGTTGGAAGCGCACGCACGCACGCAACAGGACTGGACTCATCTGCCATCCCTTGTTAGTACGCCGTTGCTCACCCGCCCATCGAACTCAACTCGGTCTTCCCCCCCCGGCCCTCTCCTTCCCCCTCCATTCCATTTCATTCAAATGTTCGCTGCTGGATAGGTAAGAGGTAACCTATATCGACTAACAGGCATGTAATCTACCTTCTAGGTACGTTGAAAGTTTAATGTCTCGACTCGGTCCAGTACAAGAGAAACGATCCTTTTTCTTTTATCTTTGCTTCTCTTCTGCTCGATTCGGGGCCTGCAACAAAGTAAATAGCAGTGGCAGAAGCTGCTGCTTTGCTCACTGTCCGGTCCGTCAATAATGTAAAGCAACCAGCTTTTGAACAACCATCCATTCACCCACCCCTCCATCCATGCTTACGGATATTCAGCTTACCGACCTTACATACCTACTACCCACCTACCTTGATGTGCCAACGACAACTACTACTACCAGTACCACTACCACCACGACCACCACCAGCAGTCTACTACTTTACCACTAAATGTACCGCATTAGGTAGCAGGCACTGGATATTCATCAACCTACCTGCCCAGGTACACTCGACTTAGCTACGACGAGGGGTACACGCGGTCGCGGTACCTTGATCAAGGTACCAACCGTGCCGGATCCTGGGATCAGACTCCAACAGAGCGAAAAATCCATCCATGCGTACCCGTACCGTTAGCTATCGAGCCGTGTCGTTTTGAACTTTGCTAGACCTCGCACGCAGTTCCCATCGTCCCAACTCATCATATCTACCTCTTACCTGCCTACCTACATACATACCTAAGCTGTACAGTGGCCCGATTGCAGCCAAAAAAGGATTTAGCCAATCGTACCAAGCCAGTGAATCCTGGCCATTGGTAGACCGATCTAAACTTTACCCGTCTATCATTCCACCTTCTTTCGGGCGACGGTTGATTCGCAGCACCTCATCTCTCGCGCTAGCTACCACATCCATACCTACATTACTTACAGTACGGCTACGTACCATATACATGCATACATACATACATTACATACAATACTCTCGCAAAGCAACAGTTCAAGTTAGCAGCAATCAATCAATCAATCCATTGATCCCTCCATCCCATCCCATCCCATCCACCCAATCCATTGATACCAACCAGCCCAGCCCGGCACCTACTGCAGCCCATTCAAAGGTCTCACCTTTTCCCGCTGCATCAACCACCACACTCTCTATCTTCTCTCGCTTCCCTCGTCCCCCCCAAAATTCCCCATACCATCCCACTCTCGTGCCCTTTTTTTTTCTCCAACCCCCAACTTTTTTTTTTCCTCCATCATATTTTCCGTCCTCGAAAACGACAGCTGCATTCCTCCGTCGCTTGTCTTATCGCGTCTCGTCTCCGTTCGCTCCCCCGAAGCAGCCCCAAGCAGTCGTCATTCTGCTCCATTTTTTCCCTCCCAATATCGTCGCGCCCGCGCGCGTCTCCTCTCGGCCTTCTGTCTGCTTGCAACCAACAGTGCGTCCGGTTTATGGTAGTGTAGTACGCCCATTCCATCTCCCTCCCGCCCACATAGGAAACATCTTACGCATCTCAACTCCACCCGCCGTACTGTCCGGACCAGACTGCTACTACTGCTACTGCTACTCGAGCACGTCGCAACCACATCGCGCATTCCCGCCTGTCGCCCAGAGCTCGATTGAATAGAAACCCCAAGCAACATTGGACGCGCCCGTTCAATCTTCAATTCCATGGTACCAAAGGCTCAAGGTCTCCAGACGTCTCCATACTCTTTGAAAGCACGACCTAGCAGATCATAGCATACCTATCTAGCATAGCACAGAAGTGGCGCGTGTTGCAGCATCCACGCACCGTACGGCATCGCACCGCGTCACATCGCAGCGCAGCGCATCACCGGAAATTGGCCGCGCTGCTCAGCAGTCCATCGCACGAACGACGCACTTTGTTCACGCAGGACCATCGTGTACCTACATTATTATTACTCACCTACATAAGACCGTGCTGTCCAATCCGCCTGTTTAGCAACATACCTACTACCTACCTACTGCGACGCATTGATCAGCGCGATCGTCGCAGCCAGTGCCCACTAACCGCCAGGCACAGAAAGCTGCGAGCCCAATCACCTCTTGGTGCAATAATCCTCGCTTTACTTGCATGAACTCGAGAGCATGACCCAGGATCAAGGGCCGCAAGGTGCTGCCTCCTCACTCAACTTGTCGCGACCTCCATTTGCGCCTCTGATCTCGAATCGCACAAGCCCGTTCGCGCCCGCCAGTGCGAACCAGGCCATTACCGCAACGTCTACGCACCCGACCACAACCACGTCTCCAGCCAAGTCCGCCATGGCCACCTCCTTCATGTCACCGCCACCGTCCTTCAAGAACGGGTCATTTTCGATGTATCCTTGCCCGCCGATTATGGGCAGCAGCCCCTTCGATCGCGATGCTTCCATGCAGCCTGTCGGAACGCCATCACAGGTATCGACCGTTCTAATCCGCCGACTTCCACTGGAGATAACAGAAAAGGAAGTCGAGCTCATGCTTTTTATGGCGCAAGATTCCTTCGAGGTTCAGCTGCTGCCACCTGAACAGTCTGCCGATCCTGGCTTTTGCACGGCGACCGCCAAGTTCAGGTCGCCCGCCAGCGCGCAGAAAGCCAAGGAATTGTTGCACGGCAAAGCCGTCGGCTCGGCTGATTTGATCGTCGATGTACTAAGCGGAAGCCCACCATCGTCTAGACGGAACCACAACGAGCCCTCTGGTTCCAAGGCCTCGAGCAACGCATCGTCTACGAACTCTTCTGGGCAATCAGCGCGATTCAACGGCAGCTTCACCATGCAAGCCATGGACAAGATCTCACCATCAATGGGCAAACTCTACGGGTCCGCGGAGTTGCCCAATCCTGCGGCAGATGAGCATTTTCAAACCCTCTTCTCACCGCAGTCGCCGATTGGGAACCACCTGACCGAGCGCGCGCGCATGTCGAGTAGAGATATTATCAACCAGGACGTTGGTGACGATGAAGCCGAAGACCTTCTCAACAATCTGATTCGGAATCCTGACAACGTACATTCCCAGGGCCGACGCGCGACTGCACCTCAGCTACCAGTCAACCGATTAGCGAGTCTATCGCTAAACACAAATCCTGTAGGGCAGCCATCGATTCCACAGTACGGACATCCCCATGCCAACAATATCACTCCCTTGTCGGCTCATGGGAACACAATGTCCCCAACCGTTATGGGAAATGCAAGTTTTCCATCAACAGGCCCTTCATACCCGCCACGCCAGAACTACCCGCCTGTCAATCCTGCGGATCAGAACCCGCCCTGCAATACCCTCTATGTGGGTAATTTGCCCATTGATACGTCTGAGGAAGAGCTGAAGGCCATGTTCTCCAAGCAGCGTGGCTACAAGCGACTATGCTTTCGAACCAAGCAGAACGGCCCGATGTGCTTTGTTGAATTCGAGGATATCTCATTCGCGACCAAGGCACTCCACGAGCTCTATGGTCAACTTTTGCACAATAGCGTCAAGGGAGGTATTCGTTTGAGCTTCTCCAAGAACCCACTGGGCGTCCGTTCAGGGCCAGGGCAAGGGGGTGCTCCTCCCATGAATGGACTGAACAATATGATGGCGAATGCCGCCAGTGGTTTCACCACAGTCAATGGTCCCCCGCCAGGCTTGCCAGGCCCGGCAGGTCTGGGCCGCATGGGCTATGGCACAACTTCTTCCATGGCTAACGGACATGGCTCAGCCTATTCTACCACATCATACTCTTCAGGCATGAGCAATGGATGGTCCAACGGAGGCTACCCCGGGCCCCTGTCAACTGGTGGCACATCATCGCCTTTACCAAGTGGTGCCTCGTCAGGGTTCGCATCCTACATGATGGGGAAATGATTGCCAGGCCGCCCCTTGTGACGGGCAAAAGGTACATCGTTGATGCCTATGCTCTTAAGAGGAATTAGGGGGGTCAACCCCCCTTTTTAACTACTACACCTACTACTACTTATTCTTCTTTTTCTTTTTGCTTTCAACTACTCAAGGCGTTGTTGGGCTAAAGCATTGTTTTGGATGCATTAGGATGCAGTTCTTGGTAAGGGAGGACACCCGCGCATTGTGGTAGACTGAGGTCCACTACAGAATGGGCTTCTGTGGAGCTTTGGTGGCGTAATTTGCTTATGCTGCATCTTGGGGCATCAGTGGTGCGATGTTGTTGTTGTTGTTGTTTCGCATGGGTTGCGGTGATTGCATCACGTATTCGCGATCCTCCTCTACTTATACATCATCCATCTGATTAGCTGGACCTGGGGAGTTTAGAGGCGCATATTATACCTCGACAGTTCAGGCTCGGTGGCATTATCTGGTTCTACTAAAGCGCATACGTCAGCGATATTCCAGCGTCTGCGGTTCTCATTTTAGGGTCTCAAGGGGGATGGGTTGTGGCGTTACCAAGCATTGTCGTTTTTCCACAATAGGGACAACCATGGTGCAACGGCAGCCAAGGACCTACCACATTTCGACATGGTCTGGTTCTTGGTGCTCTCGTTATTCTGTGTCATTTTCAATGGTTATAAAGGCAGAATGAGGTTCGTCGCCTGGCGTTTACAGCGTTACAGAAGACAAAAGACCCGGCAGTACTACCATCATCCGAAGGGGCATTTTCACATCAAAATTGGCGAACAAGGTCATGAGAAACAGACGGTGCATCGCATACCGTGGAATTACATCTTCAAGCGTACCTTACTCGCTTGGGTATTATCGTTCCACAGGCTCGTCCTCGCAAATCAAGCCCATCTCCCTGTCGCAAACATTGGCAGGGATTGAAGGGGCTGAATCATTGGTAGATCGTCAGATCCTTGGTTTATTTATGTTGGAAGAACAAACGGGGTCATCATCAGCGATCACATAATTCGGTGGCAATTGGGTCATGACTCGACTTTATCAACCATCTACTCCGGCTTGTTCGATCCGTTTACATTGGGTTTCCTTGTTCACAATCATGAGGGCGACCACGGGACCGAGCATTATGAGAGGCAACATCAGCCGTGTGTTGAGGATCAGAAATGACGAAATGACACGGTCGACATGGATTCTTGGAGCAAATGAGCTTTTCCTTATTGTTTATCTTTCCCGTGGTGCCTCTCTCTCTCTCTTCTTTGGTTCAGTTGCTGGTTTTCTTACTCGACTAGGCAAACCATTTTCTTGTCGTGTCGGAATTTCTCCATGGTTTTGTATTCTTTTCACGCTGCAAGAGGATTATAGGCCTTGAGTTTGGGGGAAGCGAATATTGTTCATTTTCTTCACGTTATCATTTCTCATATAGCCCAAGCGAATTAGATCATTGAATCGAATGCATACCTACCCGAGTATACACAGGCTTTTGGATTAGTTCATGGTTCTGCTAGTGATGCATTCTTTGGAGTAATTTGATGAGAAACAAAAGGGTCCGTAGAATGAGTTCGAGCCAGTGCTGCTATGTCTGACCAATCTTGTGAATATGTGACGACGCGAAGGGGCTACACACCCAAAAGCCGACCTCGCTCGACCCTCTTCACTACCCCCATCCTTCTCGGGGCCGCTCCATGAATTAATATTCAATTTAAAGGACTGCAAATTCCCGCCTCCCCGCACTCCCGCGTTCCCGTTCCCGTTCCCGCTCTCGCTCTCGTTCCGTGGGAACAGTCCAGTCAAGTCTTCGACACAGGCCGCAAAAAAACGGAAAGGGTGGGACGCACAAAATATAAAAATCAAAAAGAGGGGGAGGTGGGAGGGGGGAGGGGGAAGATGTATCACAAAACGCCTCGAGCGTTTGCATATATATGGGAAGGGCTGAGAAAAATAAGGCGGTACCCCCTTTTTCTTTTTTTTCGTTTCTCGGGTACCAATAGGATGATTATGGAATGTCTTTCCCCCCCTCCTTGTGTCACAGGACACGTGTTGCTCTGTATGACCTGTCTATTCACTTGCTCATGATGATCTCTTGTCATTTCTCTTCATGGCTCTTGGGCTCACGAGTTTCCTGGTTCAGTCTTGCCTGAGCGGCTGAGGACAACAAGATCTCAATCTTGGGCTCATTGCTTCCTAGGTATATGTCTCTCTCTGCCCACCAACTTATTTGCATGATGTTTTAATCTATATTTCTTTTATGGGCGATCTGATATTTCATTTATGATTACTCAGTCTTTTGACATGGGGGTTTCCACGGATGTGATGCAGGACGGGCAGAGCTTTATTCCCATCTTACTTGCCATGTTTGACTTGTTTGTTTCGGCGGGTGAGATCGATATACAGTATCGGGCCAACAGCACGTAGACCTGGTGTTTGCCGCTTGGAATCAGGCTCTTCGTCATGTGGATAGCATGGCCATAGCTAAATGGAATATGGATAACTAGAGCATTATTGTTCTTCGTGGAAAAGAAAAAAAAAAAGGCTCCAACCAGCGACATCCGTAAAAGCTTAACAAGTCCTCACAACAACTTGGCAGCAGTAGGGGCAGTTTTCTTGGAATTTTTTGTCAATACCAACAAGATATGTCTCGGGCTATTCCACTTGCGTATCGGGATACTCAAGTTTAATCACGACTCCTACTTTTTCGTCGCCCGGACACCTTGAAACAGTCATGAGGATTGCAGTAAGTATAAGGACCTTTTTCGGATATCAAGCTCCCTCGAGCGCTAGATCTTGTGTGAAATGCTGAAGGGTTATAGTGTCCGTCTACATATTACCTTTTCAACGCGTCCAACGAGTGCCATGTAATTGTCCAACTCAGACAGACAGGGTCCATAAGCACCACTTTCCGTGCTTTGAAGGAGCCTGCATGACCCACGTATGCGATTGCTTTGACACATGGTCATTGGGAGCTCAAATGATCATGTACGCGAGTGGAAACACTTTCCAAAAGGTAAGCATTTGAACCTGGACAAGCCTTGTCCAGAGTGACGATTGGGAAAGAATCCATGGGGCTTACGAAAGCATATCCTTGCCAAGCACGCCAGGGTACAGGTAGTTCCCGGATTTGGAGATGGCATTATTGCTCTTTGGAAATAGTAGTACAGAGTACCTTGAGTATTTGGGGGCTGTTATGGATGTGGGTTTCCCTTTTTGAATCCTTCAACACCCCTTGTCAATTATTCTTCTCTCTGAGCAAAAGAGCAGGTATTCAAAGAGAGGGGAGGGAAAAGGAAAAAAAAAAAAAAAACGCTTGGCTTATAGTGGTTCCGATTCCATGTCACACCGGTTTGGTCGGTCGTGGGGGTCAGTCCATTCATTGACCATGAAGCACCAAAACCCCCCCATTCTTAGCGGCGGCGGCCCGGGCCACGATCAAGTTTTGCCTAGGGCAGGAGAACGCGAAAATGGATCATGAAACATAACACAGTAACCTAGGTGTATGGGTTCAAAGAGTGTCCTATTCTAGTTAACAAGTCCGCGGTCTGTGGGAATCAATGCAGCTAAGAAAATTGCTGTCAGAAGGGGACCCAAGGATAAAACAACAAAGTCAAGAAGTCTTCCTCCCATTGGTAATCTTTTTTGGCCTGCCAGGGCCTTTTTCTTTCTTTTTTTTTTTTCTTGCCCCCCCTGGTAAGCTGCTGAGATGACGTGCCCCACGGGAATCGCGGCTGATCTGATTTTAAAATAATTCCTTGCCCCCCGAAAAAATAAAAAAAATCTCTAGCACTACAACGTAAGCAAGGCAGATAGGGCCAATACACAGTGTATAACAACATGATGTTTTGTCATCCTATTTCAGACAGGGTTGGACGACGTGCTTTGCTGACATGACATTCTTTGGAGGGGTCGTCGTTCGGACTTGGCTCCCGAAACAGTCAAGAGGAGGATGGGAACTAGGGACTATAGTGACGGACGGCCAGTGGGGTGTCAAGGTGTATAGGTGCGTGGCGCGGCTCATACCGAAGCCGATAGGGAAAAAAAGAGTCGTTGATCGTCGATGCAGCTGTGGAATGCCGGAAGCTGTCAAAAAGATTTACAAGAAGCGATAATGCCTTGGGCATGCCTTGAAAATTGAGCTCGGAACTATCGTGATCAGGGCAGGCGTGGGGGGTCTAGTTTATAGTACAAGACGGGCGAGCCGTTTTCCAGTGCAGGAACTTTTAGCAGCAAATAAAGATTATAGCATCTAGGTCAGTCTTGTCGCCATTGATACTTGGGAGACGGACTCCAACGTAGCACGGGTCGGTCGACTCACTCAAAGACCACACTCGTGCAATTGAGGTTGTGGTTGCAGACGCCGAGGTACCAGAGATATTCCGTCGCCAATGGAGCCCTTTGGGTATAGTGTTCCATATCTAGAGTCCATGTATATGAAACGCAACTCACAAGGCGGGCGACCCCATTAAGAAAAGGGTCACGTCAACAACAAGGAATGCTCTGATCTCGAGTTCTCCAACCCAAAGCTGCCAAACGAACCAGATATGCACAAAGCTATAAAAAAAAGAAAAAAAAGAAGAAGAAGAAATTGGCGAAACCAACAGGTTATGCTCAATTCAAGTGCCATAGATTATGGTCGTATCAATGTTAAAGTAAGATTAGCAGCTGCGAAAATGGTCATCGTGGTTGGCATTGTAGTCTTCAATAAGTAGTTGTCATAATTGTACGGAATAGTATGCATAGGTGCCGCCTGGGTGGAGATGACCGTGGTAAGACAGGTTGGAGTTGGTCCCTGTCGTTGGTCTCTGTGACAAGAAACGCAATGCAAGTGTGTATAGTCGGATCCAAGGTTACTCATATACCTCAGCAGTATTGTTCCCGTAAATACTAGCAACAACGCTTCAAAAAAAAAAAAAAAAAAAGGCAATATGATATAAAACGACAGGCACTCGAGTAACCAGCAATCACGAGGCTGAGTACCGCGATGGGGCACCGAGGGAGGGCGGCAA